AACATGGTAAACTGTCAGAAACATCATAAACTGTCAGAAACATGGTAAACTGTCAGGAACATGGTAAACTGTCAGGAACATGGTAAACTGTCAGAAACATCATAAACTGTCAGAAACATGGTAAACTGTCAGGAACATGGTAAACTGTCAGAAACATGGTAAACTGTCAGGAACATCATAAACTGTCAGGAACTTCGTAAACTGTCAGGAACATCACACACACAATTCCTAAAAAGTTACCCAGCATCCTTTGCAGTGCACACAGTTTTTCTGGGATGTGACCCTCTCACACATTTCACACACATTTGCTTTAATCTGGGGCCTACAAATATTCTTCTTCTAATCTTAGTAATGTTTAATCATAAGGACTGAAGTAGCAGAAGCTCTGGTTGAAAGGCTGTGCGTTCTCGCTGCAGAGACTTTTTTGTGCTCTCTCTCCTGCGGTGTGGGGAGCCCTGCTCTCATCTGATGAATGGAATAAACAACAACAAACATTTATTACGAGAGAATATGGATGAGGACACACAGCAACTTTGTAGTTAGTTTACAAAAGTAGTTAACCACAAAGAGGATCACCAAAGTGAGTTAATACGTTGTAGTAAATGATACAAGTGGACGTCCGACACACATTGAATGCATCACCCTGCCTCAGCACAGCGGAGTTCTGCCTCGCCTCATTGGTTCTGGTTCTGGTTGTAGAGCTTCTGGATCATTTCTCAGATTTAAATTCTTCTTCAATTAGTTTAAAATTTGCATAAACCCTACAAACAGTTTTTGTGTCACTGTATTTGATTCTGTGGGATTAAACTAACCAGGTGAAAATAATTGAGACCGTATGTTTATGAACTCTAGTCGGACCTGACCCGGTTCTGAATAACCTGCAGGGAATGGTGGCGCTGCTTCTCCTCATCCTTGCTGTGACTCTGATGAAGAGGATCTGGGGCCGCCGCTTGAACCTCCTTAAGCTCGTTAACCCTCAGATTACTACCTGATCAGGATCAGCTTCACCTTCACATCAGGGGCGGGGCTTCATTTATTAGACCACACCCCCTGACCTCAGCCACTCTGTCTGAGACATTGTGTGCAGTGTGTGTGTGTGTGTGTGTGTGTGTGTGTGTGTGTGTGTGTGTGTGTGTGTGTGTGTGTGTGTGTGTGTGATTAGAGCAGATTAGTGGTCAGTCAGCAGCAGTTGGAGACGAACAGCAGACGCTCCGTCACTCTCAGGTGAGCACTTTTTCACTCATTTCACACTTTACATCTAATGTGCACACACACACACACACACACACACACACACACACACACACACACACCTCTCTGTCATTTAAAGTTTGTGTGATGTTTGATTTGCTCTAATCCACCTGAATCTTTCCTTTGAACATTGTTTTAGTTGCTTCGGGTCAGAACCGAGTCATTCTGCTGTCAGGAGAAGAATCTAAATGTTTTTGTTCTGTCATTTCTGAGATTTCTCTGTGGCTGGACAAAGTTCTGCTGCTGGTTCTTTAAAGGCTTTGGGTCCAGACTTCCAGGACCAGTTTCATTGTTTAGACCTGGTTCTGGGTCCAGACTTCCAGGACCAGTTTCAGGATTCAGACCTTTGGGTTCAGACTTCTAGGATCAGTTTCAGGGTTCAGACCTTTGGGTTCAGACTTCTAGGATCAGTTTCAGGGTTTGGACCTGGTTTTGGGTCCAGACTTCCAGGACCAGCTTCATGGTTTAGACCTGGTTCTGGGTCCAGACTTCCAGGACCAGTTTCAGGGTTCAGACCTTTGGGTCCAGACTTCCAGGACCAGTTTCAGGGTTTAGACCTGATTCTGAATCCAGACTTCCAGGACCAGTTTCAGGGTTTAGACCTGGTTCTGAATCCAGACTTCTAGGAGCAGTTTCAGGGTTTAGACCTGGTTCTGGGTCATGGTGCTGACTCATCAGGGGACACAGAGGGCTGGTTGTGTGTGGTGCTTGGTACTGATGGGTCGGTTCTGTGTGAGCCTCTGTTTCAGGTCATGTGACTTACAGGAAGCTGTAGAAAATAAACTTCAGAATAAAAGTCACTGAAGTCTTTCAAATTAACGGTGAACAGAACAAAAGTTTAAAAGATCATTGGATTTTTCCTAAAGGGATAATCCAGACGTTTAGATATGTGAACAGTTAGTATCTTACCTGTTGCAGATAAGAAGTTAATTTCTGACTGAAGACATTTGTTTATTTTGTTCTTTTAAAAAACAATCTGTAATTTTTGGAGTTTTATATTTCCACTTCCTGTCCTCTCAGCTGATGTCGGAGTGCGAGCTGGAGGCCAACGGTGACATCATCTGAAGGTGACACCCTTCCCATGGTGCCTTGCTGCCTCACGGGTCACCATGGGAGACGGGACTGACCCAGAATGCCGAGCTCAGGAGCTGTTTGACGAGTTTGTGTCGGCGTCTACCTGCAGGGCGACGCTGCTCTGCTTCAGCCAGCTGTGTGAACACCTGCAGCTGGACCGCGGTGCCGCCGACAGGCCGCTGTACCGACCAATCCAACGCCGCCTCAACTACTGGAAGGCCAACGCCTTGTGGGCCAAACTGGACCGGAGAGCCGCGCAGCCCGAGTACCGAAGGGCCCGGGTCTGCAGCAACCTGACTGTGAGTGTCCACATGCTCAAGACTGACCTGTCGCCCACTAATGTGTTCACAACATGACGGGTGATGAAACATGTTAATTATTAATTAGATGTTAATAAAAGATGACCAGTCCTTTGGAACATTATTCGTTAATGTATAACATATTTGTTTAAAAGCTAATATGATGTAAAAACATAAAACATCTAAAAACATGTTACTTCCTAAATACGGTAATAATCATCATTACCTCGTTAAAATGTAAATAAATGGTATTAAATAGTAATAAATGGTCATTAATAATGGTAATGATAATTTATAAATGGGAATTAATAAATGTAATAAATGGTAGTAACTGTTAATAAAAAAGCTACAGAGTGCGCTCTCAGGACATCATTACCTGCAGTGTTCCCTCAGTGAGGACTGAACTAGACAAAAGGACCTTCTCCTCCTCCGCTCCTGTTTCCTGGAACATCTTGTAAAAAGATCTGAAGCTCTCGACCTTTGACCTCTCTAAGTGGCTTCAAACATCTGATAAGTTCCTGGAACCAACGCAGACATGTTCCTGTTTGTAGTTTTCTACACCGCTTTATAATCTAGCTGTTTTTTTGCTACGTTTCCTTTTAATTACTATTTTATTTTAATTTGTTTAAAAAAAAATCACTTTGTCTGCCTCTTTGCCTGTTGTTGTTGTTGTTGTTGTTGTTGTTGTCTACTGTTGTCATCACTCTTTGATAAAACAGGTCTCTGTTGTAAATGAGTCCCGAAGCTCAATGAGACTAACCTGTAGAAATAAAGGTTGAATGAAAATGGTCATTAATAAATGATAATAAATGGTAATACTGGTAATAAATGGCAATTGATAAACAGTAATAAATGTTTTTTAATAAATGGTGATAAATGATCAATTGTAATAAATGGTCATAATTACCTGTTAATAATTGTAATTAATAAATGGTAATAACTCTTAGTAACTGTTAATAAATGATCATTAATGAATAGTAAGAAATTGTCATAACTGTTAATAAATGATAATTAATAAGTGTAATTAATGATAATTAATAAACATTAATATATGTAAATAAATGATAAATGGTAATAAATAGTAATAAATTGGCAAATGGGGCATTATTAACTGGTAATAATGGTGATTAATAAATAGTAACTGATAATAAATGGTAATAAATGGTAATAAATTGTAATATATTGTCATTAATAACTGGCAAGAAATGTAATAAATGGTAAAAAAAAATTAATTGTTAAAAGGTAATTGATAAATGGTAATATGTAGTACATGGTAATAAACAACAGTTAATAAATGGTAATTATGAATGTAATGAATGATAATAACTGGTAATAAATGGTAATCTCCTCTGTCCTCTGATTGGTCAGTGTGTGGTCATCGGGGCAGGGCCATGTGGCCTCAGGACGGCGGTGGAGCTGAGCTTCATGGGAGCTCGCGTGGTGGTTCTGGAGAAGAGGGACTCATTTTCCAGGAACAACGTGCTTCACCTGTGGCCCTTCACCATCCATGACCTGCGGGGCCTCGGGGCCAAAAAGTTTTACGGGAAGTTCTGTGCCGGCTCCATCGACCACATGAGTGAGTGGTTGTTGTGGATCAGCTGGACCTGGAGCAGCTGGAGGTGGTCTGACCCGTGTTCTGTGTGCAGGTATCCGTCAGCTGCAGCTGGTTCTGCTGAAGGTGGCCCTGCTCCTGGGGGCTGAAGTTCATGTGAACGTGGAGTTCCGACAGTTGCTGGAGCCTCCTGAGGACGAGCCCAGAAACCGTGAGGACCCAGGGTCCGGACGAACGGGCTGCTGTCAGTTTCTGACCCGGCTTGACCCGGTTAAAGAGGTTCTGAAGGAAGCAGCTGGATTCCAGACAGTGTTTTGCAGCTCTTTGGAGGAATGAGTTCTGACTAGTCGTGAAAAGAAGTCCAGCTGCTTCGTTTTCAAACGCTTCGGGTTCGGCTGACCCAGATCGCTGCAAACCAGCACCAAAATAATGTCGGCACGACGGCGTGCACGAGTAAAACGTGTGACGCGTTGTACTCACGAAGGTCAAGGTGTCGTGATCCGAACTGTGCTCAGACATGTTTTAGAGCAGATCAGGTGATTTATCGTGTGTTTCATGACTGCGAGTTAAACGTGGAGCTTTAGCCCCGCCCACATCCCATGACCAAAACTACAGCTTTGAATAACTTGATCCCATGTGACCTGAAGACCAAGCAGACAAGTCTGAAGTCTGTCGAAATCGACAGGAAATGCCCAAACGGTGTGTCAGAGCAGAGATGGCCAACTTCCTGTTGGATTTAGGCCACACCCCCAAGAGACTGTCCTGTAGGTTCTGATCTGGTGAATGAACGTGCCAGTGTTCACAGGTGTGCACGGAGCCGTTCAGAGGGGCTGGAATAAAATGTGGGCCAACTTGCTCATCCACTGAACATAAGAAATAATCTCTCCTGATCGACGTTTATCCATAAAGTCCGAACCTTTCAGCAGAATTAAACTCCAAGAACAGAAGAATAATAAAGTGTAAGGGAGTAAAGGCTCTGAATGTAGATAATTTATGAATAAAAGCAGAAAGGTGCCTTGATGCCACCAGCTTTAGAGACGACAAACTAAAAGTTGTTGTCGTAACAAAGATTAATCTTAAAACATACCTTGACTGATTGCAAGTGGCTCGTTTCTTTGTTCAAAATTCAAGATGGCTGCCACAGCTACTTTAGGAAACAAAACAAAAGTTCCCTTTTCAAATATTGAGCTAACATTTGGCGTGGTAGTAGATGATGGTGGTCTCCAACACATACTTTGACTGCTAACAGCTAAAGCAGAGTGACAGGGTGTGTCCACGTGTCTTCAAGAACTGTCCAACTGATCTGTTGTCCTGTTCACCTGTCCAGAGGAGGGCTGGCGGATGGAGGTGAGTCCGAGGTCCCACCCCCTCAACCAGCTGGAGTTTGACGTCGTCGTTGGAGCAGACGGTCGCAGGAATACCTTGGCAGGTACGTCGAGGCCAGCTTGGATCATTCTGAAACATCGGACGTGTGTCCCAACAGATGCTAGCTTCCTGTTCAGGGTGTCTGCAGCGTCTCTGCTGGTGGAATAAATTAGGATTAACGCTCGTGACCACCTTAAAGGTACAAGCTCAAGTCTGAGCCAGGAGATTCCAGGAGTTCCTGCACACGTCACCAAAATGTACAACTGCACAGCTCTGGACGTACGCAAAACTACTCCGAGACCCAGGAGGGTTCCAGGTCCACCAAAAATCTGACGAGGAGTCGTTCTCAGTTTTAAAATGGACAGTGCCTATACAGCTCCTCTCTGTCTGATCCAGACACTCAGAGCTCTTTACAACAATCTGTGCCTCATTCACCCGTTCATACAGCTCTATACTAGATCTGTACAAAGACTACCCAGAGCTTTATCACATCCAGACACTGATGGGACACACAGAGGCAACGAGGGGTTCAGTGTCTTGCCCAGGGACACTTCGGCATGTGACTGCTGGTGGAATCGAACTCTCAACTCTCGCACTGTAGGACGACTGCTCTAACCACTGAGCCACAGCCGCTCACCATCGTGTGGAGGTTTAACTCAACTGAAGTTTTTAACCTGAGGACCTGAGACAGCCCATCATCCATCCATCATCCACCCTTCATCCAACATCCATCCATCATCCACCCACCCATCATCCAACATCATTCAACCATCATCCAACATCATCCATCCATCATCCAACCATCATTCAACCATCCATCCACCATCCAACCATCATCCAACCATCAATCATACACCCTTCATCCATCATCCATCCACCATCCAACTATCATTCAACCATCCATCCACCATCCAACCATCATCCAACCATCATTCAACCATCCATCATCCAACATCATTCAACCATCCATCCACCATCCAACCGTCATCCAGCCATCATCCACCCTTCATCCACCATCCATCATCCACCCATCATCCAACTAATCCATCCATTTTCCATCCATCCATCCCTCCATCCATCATCCAACTAATCCATCCATTTTCCATCCATCCATCCCTCCATCCACCCTTCATCAACCATCCATCCATCCATCCATCATCTATCCATCCATCATCATCCAACTAATCCATCCGTTTTCCATCCTTCCATCCCTCCATCTATCATCCTTCCATTATCATCCATCACCCATCATTCATCCATCATCCATCCATCATCCATTCCTCCATCATCTTTACCCTAGACAGGTCACCCTGTGATGGACCTGGGACTCATGAGGAAATTGAGAACACTCACAAATGTTTCCTGACATTTTAAAACTTTCTTGCAAATGTTGTCCATAATTTGACGTCAACATTTGCTACCCGGTGTGATTAGAAACAAGTATTTAAGATTAGGTATTTTAGCTGTTCTTTTTAGGTGTTCTTCTAAATCAAATGTTGGCATTAAATATATTTTGGATTTGTTTGATTGCCAAGTGTGCTGTGTTTTATGGCATAAAGTTTGGGTCTGTGATTTATTGCAATACGTTATGATATTGATATTGAGTACTTGGATATAGCAATGACTATGCATTTTTCAAACATTGTGCGCCCCCTGGATTGAATTCAGATTTATTGTGATAGCATATCCAACCTGTCAAAAGCCACAAACACTTTTTGGCTTTTAAAAGTCAAAGGGAGCAATATGTTTTAATATTTCACAATTAGCCAGGAGGGGAACATGCCAGCAGACAAAAGAAGAAGAGGAAAGTCAAGAGTGGAGGACTGAGGATTGCAACTCTAAATGTGGGGACAATGACAGGCAAAGGTAGAGAGCTGGCTGACATGATGCTGAGAAGGAAGGTAGACGTAATAGTTTGGACATTTTTGAAGCCAATGGAAAAGAGGAAGGCAGTAGGGCCTGAAGACATTCCAGTGGAGGTTAGGAAATGTCTTGGAGAGATGGCAGTGAGGTTTTGACTCAAATATTCAATGGCATATTTGAGGGCGAGAAAAAAATGCCTGAGGAATGGAGAAGAAGTGCTGGTGGCCATTTTTAAGAACAAGGGTGATGTACAGAGTTGTAGCAACTACAGGGGAATTAAGTTGATGAGCCACATGATGAAGATCTGGGAGAGAGTTGTAGAAGCAAGACTTAGACACAGCAACTAGTGGAGGTAGACACCAGTTCCTCGTGACCCAGAAACAAGAAGTTGGTAAAGAAAATGGCTGGATGTTTAATAAAACTTAGCCTTCTGATTTTAGGTGTTTGTGCTAATGGTTTAGCAACCAAACACATCTGGTGTAAATATTTTCTTCTTCTTTTCAGGTTTTAGGCGTAAAGAGTTCAGGGGGAAGCTGGCCATCGCCATCACAGCCAACTTCAAGAACAGAAACACTTCAGCTGAGGCCAAAGTAGAGGAGATCAGCGGAGTGGCCTTCATCTTCAACCAGAGGTTCTTCCAGGAGCTGCGACAAGAAACTGGTTGAGTTTGAACAAAGTTTCACATCTGCCAGAAACACCTGGTCTGGACTTAATTTAACACCAACACCTGTTTCAGGTATTGACTTGGAGAACATCGTGTACTACAAGGACGACACGCACTACTTTGTTATGACGGCAAAAAAACAGAGTCTGTTGGACAAAGGAGTCATTCTACAGGTGAGTGAAACACCTGGAGTCGTTCTATAGGTGAGTGAAACATCTGGAGTCATTCTATAGGTGAGTGAAACATCTGGAGTCATTCTATAGGTGAGTGAAACATCTGGAGTCATTCTATAGGTAATTAAACACAGTCACACACTGAATTACTCTAATGGTAAACAAACTCACACATTTAATGTACATGTAATAGTTGTGTAGTCTCTTGTACAAGTGTCAGTCACACACCTGGTCTTATGGTCTCATACAGGTGTCAGTCACACACCTGGTCTTATGGTCTCATACAGATGTCTGTCACACACCTGGTCTCATACAAGTGTCAGTCACACACCTGGTCTCATACAGGTGTCAGTCACACACCTGGTCTTATGGTCTCATACAGATGTCAGTCACACACCTGGTCT